AAGCTTGAACCCGTCTCGCCCGAAAAGTCCGTACCATACCACTGCCGCCTCGGTTTACACTGCCTTGCTTCTCTGAACAGTGCCAAAGTACTAGGACAGGCTTGTTGCATACTGCAGAGTGCTACCGGCTGGGGGAAATGCCCACCGGCAGTGCATAATTTCCATCGGCAGATGATGTAATTATCGGCCAGCCACCAATTGCCGGTCGGCACTAAATGATGCCGGTCGGCAGAAACTCCCCTTGAAGACCAGCAAACCAGCACCTCTTGGACCAAGTTTAGGTGCTCCTAAGCTCTGAAGAACAGCCTCAAGTTGTTGCAATGGAGTAAGGATGCCTTGTGCTATGAGTTGATGAAGAAATGGGCCAAGAACAATGCACTTTGGAGGCTTGGATGAGATAGCACTACAACAAAAGTAACCTATGGTGACAAAAAGTAGTGAAGAAAATAAATTTCGTCACTAAATAGGAATAATCTGTGACGAATTATAAAATTTTGTCACATATAATAAAAAAATAAAAATAATAGCTGACGAAATTTATTTTCGTCAACGAATACTTTTTTTTAGGTGAGAAAAAATTAAGTTTCGTCACCGAAGGTTTTCCCACTAATTTTTTTTGGTGGCGCCAAAATTTTGACAATTTTGGTGAGAAAAAAATTTGTCACCAATTATAAAATTATTAGTGAGGAATATATTTTCGTCACCAATAATTTTATATATATATTTTTTGAGAAACTTGATTTTAAATATTTTAAGACCATTTGGTGATAAATATATTTTTGTCACTAATAATTTTTAATATTTTGAGACTTTTTAGTAAGGAAATTATTTTATCACTAATTTTGAAGGGAAAGTTTTGAAATATTGGGCAGTAATAAAAAAAATATACTACTAACTTTCCCTCCCCCCCCTCATTTTTGTTATCAGTTTTCCTCTCCCCTCTTTCTCTCTCTCTTTAAAAACAAAACACAAGTTAATTAGCTCTCTAAGTAACCTATGGTGACGAAAAGTAGTGAAGAAAATAAATTTCGTCACTAAATAAGAATAATCCGTGACAAATTATAAAATTTTGTCACATTTAATAAAAAAGTAAAAATAATAGGTGAGGAAATTTACTTTCGTTAATAAATAATTCTTTTTAGGTGAGGAAAAATTAAATTTCGTCACCAAAGGTTTTCTCTCTAATTTTTATGGCATTTTATAAAAGAATGGCACAAGAAATTTTTTCAATGACATTTATCAACAGATGACACTAAACTAGGTAGGTGCAAGTTACTTTTTATGGCATTAGGTGAAAAGTGTCATAAACAAATATTTTATAGCATTTTGAGAAATGCCACTAAGTCAAAAACTTTTCAAGCTATCTAATAACATTTTTTGAAAAAATAAAAAATGCTAATATATTTTCAAAATTTTTAAAATACACAAAATAAATAAAAGCAAATAAGTTAAACTGAATATAACATGTTTTTTTATAACTATACTTGCCACATGTACAAAATTGATTAACGGCTTTATATGACTTAAAAGAAGAAATAAAATTTTAAATTGCTCTCCTGTACAATGATAAATTTTTTTGAATTTTAGTTCCTATAATTTCAATTAACTCGATTTTGATTCTAAATATTACCGCCTAATTTGAGTTTATGTTTAATTTTAGTATTATTAATTTTTTATTTATATATGTATTACAAGCATATACACCAAATAGAGTGACCAAAGACCAAACATTTGCTCTCACCCTCTCTCTCATAGTAAGTCGCTCACCGTTTATGTTTAATTTTAGTATTATTAATTTTTTATTTATCTGTAGTACAGGTACATATATCAAACAAAGTGACTAAACACCAAACATAGTCTTGCTCTCCCCTTCTCTTTCATAGTCGCTCACTCCTGGTCAGTCACCGTTGCTCTCTTCGGGTCCCATCGACTTTCAGGTCTCTCTCTCTCTCTCTCTCTCTTCCTTTATTTTCCCATTTCACTCTAGAGTTAGGGTTTTTTTTTTTTTTGATGTTGTAGGATTTTTATTTTTGTGAAATGAGTACATGAGTTTTGATTTTTGTTCTAGATTTAGGGTTTTTTGAACTAATTATTGGTGTGATAGATGAGATGATTTATTCTGTGAAATGATTTAGGGTTTTTGAATTTCAAGTTGAAGATATATTGAACAAACAAAATGGATTGTAGTTTCAATTATACAAAATTTTCTGTCGATTCTTAACATTAACACCAATACTAATTTAACAATGATTTTTTCTCATTGCTAAAATTGTAGTTCTATTTCACTGCTCCTAATTTTTGTCTATTTCATTTTCACTTCATACACTATATACAGCAGCAGAAGTGGGTCTTTCTTTTTTTCTTTTTGACAAAGATCTCCTATTTAATATCACATCCCTCCAAAGTGTCTCCAAAATTCATAATTGATTGGTTCCACAATTCCCTCAACCTACAATATGAGGCCTCACAACACTCAAAAAACAGCAGCCTCATGCAACGTGCAAAACAGAGTATATATACAAATATATATAAATAGTTAAATCAATACACTCTCAATATGGTCAGTGAGAGGTGTGTAGTATAACTTCCTCACAACACTCAAACCTCTATGAAATGGTTTAACTCTCATAACAGCTCCTTGTAACCTGCACAATAAACAAAACATTTGGAAACACTCAATATATCTTCCCAATCACCCAACCCACATTCAATGAACTCCCATCCCTCATTTCTCTTCCCAAATGATTGGGGCAATTCTTCAATATTGAATCTGGCAATTTCCATGTATCAAGGAACCACCTGTCATGGATGGCTTTTCAGGTTAGAAACAGATAACATACAGAACCTTACCATGTCAATAATATGCTTGACAACCACTTCCTCAGGGAGGAATTCATCATCAAATAAGTGACAGCATTTTTTTCAAAATCCCTTCGTTAGAATAGCATATGACATCAAAGGGGCTCCTAGTTTCAAGCTTATAGCCTGAGAGGATATTCAAAACTTTTATATTGGTGTTACTTCTATTTATTCATTTTTTCTTTTCATTTAGAAAATATTTGGGTAAATTATAAATTCACCCCTTGTGGTTATGGAAAATGCATCCTACCCCTCAAGGTTTTAAACCACATTACAATTTTCTTCTTCATAAAGACTTAGGTCAACTAACAAAATTGGATGATGTCAACAATTTTTTTTTTTTTGAAAATATCTATTTTACCCATAGCTCCTATCGCTCCGTCTTTTTCCTATTCTCTTCGTTTCTTAGCCACATCCCCCTAGATAATCCAATGACTTTTTTATATAATTTTAATTTTATACACTCACTTATACATTTTTATACAACTCTGCAAATGATTGAAAATTGCAAATGCAATGTATAGCCCCCACCACCATTGTCCCATCTCTTGGCTTATGTTTACTTCTAGGTTGACAAGTTGTTTGTTATGGCAATTGGTTAGTTTTATATAATCCATATATTCTTAGAAGCCAGGTGGAATATTTGCAGTGGTCTCTCGGATTCTTCCATGTGCCCTGCTTGGATCTGCCCATGCAGATCTTGTCACCTCATCCAAGCTGGACCTTGTTCAATTGGTGCTAATTTTACCTCCCACAGTGAAACTTTGATTCCCATCTTTTATATCTTTCATTCTCCTTTCTTCTTCTTTCCCCCATCACCTCGCAATTTAGTTGTGAAACTAAGTGGGTTTTGCAAGAGATGTGCATGGAGCAACTGCTAGTGCTGGTTTGCGATTCACGTGATTGCTGCATGGCTTCTTTGTTTCCAGGCTTAAATGGATTTTTGTTTGTTTGTTTGAGTCAATCAAACCTGTGCTTTTGATCAAAGGCTAGCAGATTTTTTTATAAGATATTTGGGAGAAAAACAAAATAAATGTTGTGCAGGGGAAAATGTTGCAAAAACCTCCAAGGATAGATCTGGAGTGAATGAAACGAATGCATCCTTAACGTTAAAGAAAGAATAAGGTCTCCTTGATATTTTTTTACTAGTGTCATATGCATGCATGTAAAGTTACTGCAATCCTTATTTTCTTGGTATTTTGTTTTTAATCTAATGAAGTTGGTGGTTTTGTCAGAAATAATTAAGTTGACTGGCCTTGGGACCTCGTAGCTTTCTGCTTTGGAAACTATCATGAGGTTTGTTGCTCTCACTCTGGATATATCAGTCTTAGTTCATTTGGTTGAGATAGTCTGAATTTTATGAACACAGTTTAACTTGGGATTGGAATGCAATGGACTGTTAGGCCTGAGATAAATAGTCACTGGAATATTTGACTAGAAATGATATGTATTTGACTATTAGTCTGACTCTCATTTTTCTAACCGAACGATGGACTAGTAAATCTATTGGATATAGAGTCCAATCCCATGCCTTAGTCCAATGAAACAAACACCTGTTATAATTTTATTGTTCGGTTTGTGGTCTTGAGTTGAGTAATTATCATACTCTGATGAGCCATGCTCGGTTTATTCACCATATTTCAGACATCTTAATACACAACCTTCTACTATTTTGATGTTTCTTGAGCTAAGGTATGATTATTGATCAACTTTTTTCTGGCTTACATATGTTTTTATATTCCTATTTAGATGGCACTTAGACTAAATGAAGGAGATGAAGTAGAAATTGAGCCCGATCCTGCAACATGGATAGCCTTAGAGGAGGAACTTTATATTCAGTTAATGGTGAAAGAGGTTCACAAAGGGAATAGATCATCAACCAACTTTTCAAGGAAAGGTTGGAAACAAATTGAACAAGAGTTCTGTGAGAAAACCAACAAGAGGTACAACAATTCTCAGTTTAGAAATAAGTTTAACCAGCTGAGAACCCGTTTTAATGATTTTAGTAAGCTGTTGAAGGAACTTGGGTTTACTTGGGAACCCGTGCTCAGTATTGTAATCGCAACTAATGCTGCTTGGGAATCATACATAAAGGTGAACACTTAAATTTTAAAATTTTGAAATTGAAGCCACTTTTCTTTTAACTTTACTGAATCACAGCTGTGTATTTTTTAATATAGGGAAACAAAAATGTGAAGAGATTTTGGGGAAAAGGGTGCCCAATGTTTAATGAGTTAGGAATCATATTTGGGAACCCAACATCAAGTTACAAAGATGTATCTCCATTAGCTCAGTATCCAATGGTCAGTGAATATAAATTGGATGTAGAAGATGAGTCAACAAATGCTACTCCATTCGCTTTCCCAAGTGACAGTAGCAATGGTACAGATTTTCCCTCGCAAAGTACTAGACGCCATCGCCAACGATCTTCCACTCCTACGAGCCATCTTAAAGGGAAAGGGAGGCAAGAACAGCAGTGGAGGGTGAGGCATTGAAGGAATGGACTGAAGCTACAATTCCCTCAGGGATGTCTGATAGAAAATGGGCCGAAACTAGTAAGGTAATGACCCTAACTTTCCATAAACTTGAGACGTCTTCCCAAGCTAGTCCATTCTCAATTACCAATTGTGTCAAGTGTCTAGAAGCGATTGAAGGAGTGGATTCAAGTACCTACATAAAGGCAATCAAGATGTTTAAGGATTTAGATTGGGGGGAGATGTTTATGGCAATGTCTCCCGAAAGAAGATTGGTTTGGTTGGCTAGCTTAGAGTAGTTTTGCTTTCTATGATTTTAGGTTTCTTAATCTATGGAACATGTTGAGATATTTCAACATTAATATGCATTCAGTACCACATGTACACTTTCACCTTTTTGTGTGGCACGTAATTCTTAGTCTGATGGGACGGGTTAAGATGTTGGAGCAATAAAAGGTGTAGGAGTAACCTAATCTCAATTCGAACAGAATGTAAAGTGCTTATTATTTAAAAAATGTCGTTATTGATCCCAAAAAAAAAAAAATGATGGCTCAAACACACTTTTTTGGATCTTCAATCCAAGTTTTAGTAAATTCAAATAGATTATGCCTGTCAAATTCGTAGTTTCCAAATAGGATTAGTTTAGGAGCTCTTAAAAGTCCATGTATAGTTGGACCCAATCCTATGTGAATCTATGTGTGCTACCCAATTTATACTTTTACTTCTCTACTGCATTGAGTTAGCATTTAAACCCCCAAAACCATATCTACCTCATCATTTCTCCTAACCTAAAATCATATCTTACCAACCTTAAACCTTTCCTTTTAAATCTTTCAACTCTAACCACTACACATCATTGAAATCAACTGCTTATTAATATTCACGACCGTACTATCACAGGTCCACACTCTTGCCTCTCTTTGTAAAATCATAGCCCTAAACTCTTCCCATTCTCTTGTATCCAAACAAGCCCTTAAACTCTATTGTTTTGCCCACTAGTTGCAACAAAATCTTAGCATAATCAGTCTCTAAAAAACTTTTCTCATCACTGCCTAACATCAATTTTTTTGGCATCAGAATTGTTGAAATCTACCTTCGCCCTGCTCATACTTCATCCATCAAATGGTTAGTAAGTTCATCATGTCAATGTGCAGCTTATGATGTGGTAAGGACGGACTGTTGATCCTAATGTAGGTGTTGCCTTGTTAACATTGATAAACATTAATCTAAATACAGTAATGCATAATCATAGTACTTTTCAACAAACTTTAGTACCTTATAGAAGATAGAACATAAACACCAGAAACTCTTAACAATTTGATGCTGCCAAAAATAAGAGACCAAATAATTGAAGAGCTTCATTTATCAAACATACCTCAAACCAAAAACCAATTACAAAGGAACATGAAGGATTTGTTTCTTAAACAATTGGAATTTGTTTTTAGCTAATAACAGATGCTTGTATGACTAACAGCTAGAGAAGTGCTCAATTGGAATTTGTTTTTAGATAATAACATGAAAGATTTGTTTCTATTCCTAGCTATCCTTCCTGTACATCCTTGATAATATTTTCTTTGTTTATTTTCTTTGCAGATTGGTTTTCGATGACATTTGGAAGCATACTTGCAAATCAAGATCAAGTGTTGAATTTTATTT